GACAGCGGCCACAGGAGCCGTGCTGTGTGAGAGCTGTGCTGTGCTTGGAAATCTTGATTTGTGAGATCAGCAGCCCTCGGAGGGTTTCCTTTGGACCCTCTTGTGTGTGTGTGCATAAGGGGCGATGCAGTGTTTGGGAGTGATAACTTTTGAGCTGGCAAGCAGAGTCTAAACTGTCCATTCACGAACTAAGGCAGCAGTGGTCTTCACTGGACACTGCATTGAACATGAACCAAACAGCTGTGGGCGGGGATGGGAGGGAAAAACTGGGAGAGAGCAAAGAAGGGGTGAGATTGGACAAAAAGAAATGTCTTCATTACCTGACTTATGCAGCTGAAACCCTTGTGGACATTGCCTTTATAGGAACAATAAAAATTTACTAAAGATGAAAAAATAATGATAGTGTGCAGTCACTGTGTGGAAGAAGGAGAGAGGAAGAGCCCCAGTAGCTCTCACTAGAGCCTGTACTCCAGGGCTGCTTCAAGGAGCCAGAATGCAAAGAAATGAGGTCTTTTGATGAGTTAATATATTTTGCTTAAGATATGTGATGTATGATCTGTATCTATCTATAGCATATGATATAGATTAGATATAGAGTTTTGTGATCCTTTGTCAGAAAAAAAGAAAAAGATGGGGCAGGGAAGGGAAGGACAGAAACGGTGGGACAAAGGGTGAACTAATTCAGCAGTGATAGTTGGAAATGAACTATACAACTTGGGGCCGGGAAAGGAGGGATGGACGGAAAAAACTGGGAGAAAATGAGTGAGGAGGTTATGCTGTCCCAAAAGAAATGTACTCAATACCTGACTTACGGAACTGCAACCCCTCTGTACATCACCTTTACAACAAAAATAAAAATAAAGAAAAAAGAAAAAGAATGACTTTTCTCTTAGTGAGTTAAATCTACAACAGCAAAAATCTTTAGCCTCTTGACACGTGAAATGATAAATACAATGAGTAACATAAAGTTCAAAATAAAATAAATTGAAAAGTAAGTTCCAATTTGTCTAATGTGGTTATCATCTTTTCTTTTCTTTCTTTCTTTTTTTGCCAGCCCTGGGCTAAACTTGGGCCTGGGCACTGTCCCTGAGCTTCTTTTGCTCAATATTATCACTCTGCCACTTAGAGCCACAGTGCCACTAGTTTACTGGAGATAAGAGTTTCACAGACTTTCCTGCCCAGGCTGGCTTTGAACTGTGATCCTCAGATTTCAGCCCTCCTGTATAGCTAGGATTACTGGTGCCCAGCTATCATTTTTTTCTTCTTTGCATTCTTCTGGAGAGTTGTGTATGCCGATGCAGCCATATTGTATGAATTGGTTTGTAGTGTGTCTTTTATTTGCCGGTACGTCTTGGGTGTCGTTTGTTTCAATGCATACAGGGCCAGCTCATTCTCTCCTCAGGTAGATATCACCCCTTTATTTATACAGCGTATCCTCTTCCCATGTGTGGTCTTTGAGAGGCTACCAAGCTGAGCCCTCAGACTTATCACCCTTCCTTCTCTTCCTCACTGTGGGAATCTCCTATACCCTCCAGCCCACCCTCCTCCATGTTTACTGAGGAATTGAGCAGCTGACCACTCTAGCCAGCTCTCCATCTTCCTAGCAGGATGATCCTCAGTTTGTCCCATGGTCTCCCCACCCCACCCTAAGATCAGTCATCCAGCTTTGGTATACCATCCACTTCTGCTTGGATAGTGCACTCAGGGGTTCTGAACCACGGGCATCAGCCAAGCTTTCTGAGACCCCTTTCCTCTGTGGCTCTCCTTTGTTCCTGGTCTTTGAAATACTTCCACCCCTGCGATCTTCTGCCCTGCTCCCCTTTCAGGGTTCACTGACACACTATCCTGTCTTCACTCTTCTTTCTGGAATGTTGTCTGTGTTGTGTTCCTACTTCTCTCATTCCCTGGGTAACATTCCGGTTTTGGCTAAAGGCAGGTTTATTTTATTTTCTTGTGTTATTATTTATTGTACCTGTGCCTGAGTAGGGGGAATGTGGCTGGAAGAAGCCTTCAGCCCTGCAGCTGGACAGCAGCCGCCCATGCCCTTTGCTTCTTCTCTGTCTCCCTCCCTCCCTCCCTCTCTCCTTCCCTCTTCCTCTCTCTCTCTCTCCACCCCTCTCCTTCCCTCCATCCCTCGATGTCCTCCCCTTCCCCTTCCCTTCCTTGCTCTATTCTTTCCTACACCAGTGGCTTTCAGAATTTCCTTCAGAATCTACCTGGGTCTGGCTTTTCTTTCCACCATGGTTCCCTTAGGCCCGGCCTCCATCACGCTTGGTTGAACAAGCTTTCAGTGAGGGGCCTCATGTTCCCCTTCCTCATCTCATCCAGGTCTTACTTAAAACCTAACTGCTTCAGAGGCCTGAGAAAAGAGCGTGCCTTCCTTTACCTGTCTATGATGCCTGTCACAGCTCAGCAATGGCTCTCACATGCATGCCCTCCACACGGCCTCCGAGGGAATTGTGACCACACTTAGGTCTACCTACTTTCTGGCTCTGAGGCAGTGAAAATGCAAGCCAGTTGTGTGACAGTGGGCTGCTGGACTGGGGATGAGGGGTAGGGGGGCTTGCTAACCTGCCTACAGTTGGAGAGGCGGGGCCCCGGGCAGATTGCTCTGCAGGCCAGTGGACTGGCAGACTCTGTGTGTGTGTGTGTGTGTGTGTGTGTGTGTGTGTGTGTGTATTATTTATGATGCCACTCCAGAAGATTCCTCTCACCAGCTAAGCAGAGAGCATCCCTTCCCTTCCTGCCAGATACTACAGTTCTGTGCACTGGCTTTTCTTACTTTAAGAAAAAGGGCAGAAGTGTGGAGCAATTTGTCTGAGTCAAAAATCTGTAGCAGGGCTGGGAAGGTGGCTCAGTGGTAGAGTGCTTGCCTTGCATGCTCGAGGCCCTGGGTTCGATTCCTCAGCACCACATAAGCAAAAAGAAAAAAGCCGGAAGTGGTGCTGTGGCTCAAGTGGTAGAGCACTAGCCTTGAGCTGAAGAGCTGAGGGACAGCGCCCAGGCCCAGAGTTCAGGCCCCACAACCGGATCCCCCCAAAAAAAATCTGTAGCAAGCTAAAGGCGGAGAATAGATTTGCAGCCCAATGCAGCCACTTTCTAGAGCCGTTCAGGACAGAGGAGCAGCTGTAGGAGCAGCTGTAGGTCGGGAGAGAACCTTGGTCCAGGCCTGGGCCCTCAGGGCTGTGCTGGGGTGGCAGGAGTGGCATCCAAGGCGCTGAGCAGTGCGCTCCTGAGCCGTGCAGCGCCACAGGCTGCAAGGCCAGGAAACCATTGTTTCAGCCAGAAAGCAGGGAGGGAGGAATCCAGTCAGAGACTGACGTGTCCTTGGTCCCTGGTGGCTCTGAGCAGGCTGGATGGGCCACAAGATTGGGCAGGAGAATAAAGCTGTTGACGCAGACTTGGTTCTTTCTCCCCAACCAGAAACAAAAATAAGCCGAGTTCAGACACCACTATCACAGTCCCTGCCAACTAAGTTGTCCTTTGAGGAAAGCAAAATTTGGGAACTTCTGATATAATCTTGCCTTACTCTATTATTGTTTTCTAATCCCTTCCTCCCTCCTTCCCTCTCCCTCTTTCTTCTTCTCCCTCTATCTTCATCCCTCTCCATCCCTTCTTTCCTTCTTCCTTCTATCTTCCCTTCCTATTCCTTCCCTTCCCTTCTTCCTCCTCATCCCCTTCCCCCACACCTAACCTTTACATCTGTCTTTGTGTCACTGTTATGGTATTTTGATTCATATAACCTTGTGGTAAGATTTGATGTTACGGCTGTCGCTTTTCCAACTTTCTTTTCAAGACTTTTGAGGATTCAAGGCCTCTTGGATTTTTGAAAAAATTTGATCAGCTAGAGAGGTTTTGTTAAAAAATAAATAAAAGGCAGCTGGAATTGTTTTATTAGAGATTATATTGTATCTACTTGGCAATTATTAATCAGTTTTGTATGTCTAATTTATCTTAACCATAGTTTCCAGTCTGTGTGTATATGTGTGTGTATGTGTGTGTATACATATTTTTTTCTATTAGGCAGGACTTGTTTATTTCAATGATATTTTTGTTTTTAATGTGCAAGTCTTACATTTCTGTCATTAAATTGCTGAGAGTTTTATTGGTTTTAATACTGTTGTAAGGTGTGGAGTATATAAAGGCACACAGTTGTATTCACTTTATCAACCTTTTTATTTTGATTGGGAAGTTGAGAACATTGAATGTAATGACTAATAGTGAAAGTTTATGTCTTCTCTTTCACTGCTTCTTCCCTGTGGCTCTTCTATCTTTTGAGTTCCTTCTTTGCTCTGTGTGTGTGTGTGTGTGTGTGTGTGCACACACACACGTGCGCACGTGCACACTAGAACTGGGGCCTGAACTCAGAGCCCCATGCTCTTGCTTGGCTTTTTTGCTCAGACTGATACTCTACCACTGGAGCCATCCCCCCATTTCTGTCATTTTGCTTGTTAATGGTAGAAGAGGCTCTCAGATTTATCTGCCTGGGCTGGCTTTGAGCCACAATCCTCAGATCTCAGCCTTCTGAGTAGCTAGGATGACATGTGTGGAACCACCAGTGCCTGGCTGCCTTCCTCAGTTCTATAAATATTTTTATGTACCATTTAATTTGACTTGAATTTATTTTATTCTGCACTTCAGAGTTACACTGTCTACGATTGATTCTGGGGATCAGGCTCTTCTGTGGACTACCCATTGAGACAAAGCTGGGTGGTTAAGCAAAGGAGGGGACCATTCGTTTTCTGAGAGTTGTCTGTGTTGATGAATGTATCTCTTAATGAACAGTCAAGGCGTACGTGATGTTGAATGTGCCGATTCCGTGATGTTCAGTGTGCTGATTCCACATTTCCCCTCTTGGCTGGGCTGGAGAGTGGACAGTGCTGCGGCCACCTCTTCTGTTGCTGGCCTGGCCTCTCCCTTGCACTACCCTCCTGTTTCCTGACTGCTGTGCCCTCTTCTTGCTTTCCAGGTACTTTCCTCCTTGCTGAGTCTGATGCTCCTGGGGCTCCCCCTTCCTGGTGGGATACCTGGTTCCAGAGACCTCCTGCTCCTCCTCCTCCCCATGTGGGCTTCTGAAGGGAGGGAAGAGCCAGCCGTGTGCATGTAAGCACAGTGGGACCCCAGGCCTGGCTGGAAGACACCCCTCCGTTCTCCTCTGCATCTCTCACAGGTAACTGCGAGTGGGATACCTTTCCTTATCACTTCCTAGTGGAGTCTCAGGCCTCTGCTGGGAAAGCCCAGGCCTGCCTGGATGGAACTCTGTCCTTCTTCCCTAGCAGGTCTCCCAAAATGAGGCTGAAAGAATGTCCTCAGCATGTAATGTAGGTTAAGCCATTACTGTATTTCCTCGAGTCCTGTCTGTTGTTCCTAGTGGGCATGCAAGGTTAATGTCGCCTGCCTCATGTTGGAGATGGAGAACAGTTTTGCAGGGCAAAGTGCCACATTCAGGATTCATTCATTCATGGAGGACTTGTAGACTGAGCACCACGTGTGTCCCGCACCCTTCACACGAGCCTGCTTGCGTGGAGACCCTGCAAGTGGAGGTGTGAATGGAGGCTGGGGTAAGTGAGGCACCAGAGGCAGACAGGCTGTGTACAAGGCCCAGAGGTGGATACGGTGGGCCAGGCTTTGTGGGTGGGGCAGGTTGTGGTTTTAAATAGGGCAGTTAGGGAGTTCTTGAGCAGGTGACACCTGAGTGTGGACTTCTGCAGCTGTGGGACCTGGGGGTTCAGACCTGGGCACAGGCACTGCCGCGAGAAGGGAGGTGGGTGCTAGCAGCCTGGCAAGTTGCAGGAGCATGCCGAGGCACAGCAGGGTGACTGGGAGGGAGCCTGCCTTGAGCAGAGGCCAGGACAGGCCAGGAGATGGCACGTCTGGGTCACAGCCATGGAGGGAAATCAGTCTGGGAAGATGGTAGGAGCCTCTGGGGGGCTGTGTGTCTTCTATCTATATCCAGAGCCAGTAGGTGAAGTGGAGCATGTTCACTAGAGAGGGAATGGATCAGACCAGATCCCAAATAAGAGGAATGGTAAGTTTATTACTTCTAGCACGTTCCAGCATTGCATAGCAGGAAGTGAAGCCAGGCCAGTGAGGGGCACTGAGGAGACAGGCTGTGGGCTAGAGGAGCCAAGAGCAGTGCATGCTGGGAGCCAACTGTGGAGCCAAGAGCAGTGCATGCTGGGAGGCCTCTGCAGGGAACCAAGAGCAGTGCATGCTGGGAGGCCCCTGGGGGGAACCAAGAGCAGTGCATCCTGGGAGCCCACTGGGGGAACCAAGAGCAGTGCATCCTGGGAGGCCCACTGGGGGAACCAAGAGCAGTGCATCCTGGGAGGCCCCTGGGGGAACCAAGAGCAGTGCATGCTGGGAGACCCCTGGGGGAACCAAGAACAGTGCATGCTGGGAGGCCCCTGGGGGAACCAAGAACAGTGCATCCTGGGAGCCCACTGGGGGAACCAAGAGCAGTGCATCCTGGGAGGCCCCTTGAGGAACCAAGAGCAGTGCATCCTGGGAGACCTCTGGGGGGAACCAAGAGCAGTGCATCCTGGGAGACCCCTGGGGGAACCAAGAGCAGTGCATCCTGGGAGGCCTCTAGGGGAACCAAGAGCAGTGCATCCTGGGAGCCCACTGGGGGAGCCAAGACCAGTGCATCCTGGGAGCCCACTGGGGGAACCAAGAGCAGTGCATCCTGGGAGCCCACTGGGGGAACCAAGAGCAGTGCGTCCTGGGAGCCCACTGGGGGAACCAAGAGCAGTGCATCCTGGGAGCCCACTGGGGGAACCAAGAGCAGTGCGTCCTGGGAGCCCACTGGGGGAACCAAGAGCAGTGCGTCCTGGGAGGCCTCTTGCTGCCAACTCCCCCAGGGGCTGATGGGTCAGGTGAGGTAAGGACCAGTCGGTGCTTGGATCTGAGCCATGTGGGTCATTGTGCTTTGATGGGGATGGTTTGATGGCCCTGGCAGAGCTGGAACTCTGTCATAGTAAGATGGCTGGCAGCTGTTTGGAGAAGCTTTGTTGCACAAGGAAGCTCAGATTGGGATGATGGTTGGGGTAAAGTGGGGGTGAATTAGTCAGGAGAGTTACTTTTTAGATGAACGCATTCTCGACCTGGCTGTGTATTCTTGGGAGTGACTGGCAGAGTGATGTGTTGAGGCTGCAGGATGGAGGCTCCCCATGGTCCCTTGCCTGGGCGCAGTGTGGATTGTAGGTTCATGAGTCCCTGCCTCAGGAGGAAGCAGGGGCAGAGAGGGACCCGCACTCCTGTGAGGAGCTCTGTGGTCCTCTGGCCTCCTAACTTTTCTTTGTGCAGTAGGAAAGAGTGACCATCTGTGCACACAGTGCTAGAGGGATTTTTAGTCTGGAGACTTGAAGGAGATAGCACACCCCAGTATGTGGCCACAGATGAGAAGTCCCCAGCCTGGTCCCTTAGACATCTGAGCCTCCAGAATTGGAGGCACAGAGCAGAGAGGACAAAGTGAGAGGCCAGAGCTGAGGGTGTGCAGGAGAGAGAGGCTGCTCCCCACCATGGGGGCAGGCCTGGCAGAGAGGAGAGGACCTCAGGCTGAGTGTTGGGGACATGGTCAGCACAGTGGAGCTCAGAATGCCAGAGGATGTGAACTGAGGCCATGGACAACAGGTGCTGAGTGGTGTGTGGAGGGGGGAATCTGAGCGCTTGTGGAGATCCAGAGTTTGGCTCCTCTCCCCACCCCCTACACAAGCTCTGCAGTCATCTTGCAGAGGAGTATTGCCTGTCCTGTCCAGCCCCTGCTGGGGAATGTTCTAGACATGCACTCTGTGGTCCCTCATTACCTGTCTAGCCCTTTGGTGATTTGGGAACCCTGGCTCACCTGTTTCTTTGCCAAGTTGATGCGTTCAGGATCATGGCTACATGAAGGGTGGTGTTTGTTGCTACACTTGCTTCCTATTCCTTGGGAAATAAGTGAGTTATAATCTTTTATCTCCTTTTAAACTTAACTTTAATGCCTGTATCTTTGTATGTAATGCACTTAGGGTCCAGAAATTACAGTACACTCTCCCAGGCATGAAGGTGGTGTTAACTTAGGGTCTTGGTTACGGTACACTCTCCCAGGTCTGAGGGTGGTGTTAACTTAGGCTCCTGGGGTTACAGTACACTTTCCCAGGTCTGAGGGTAGTGTTAACTTAGGCTCCTGGGATTACAGTACACTCTCCCAGGTCTGAGGGTGGTGTTAACTTAGGCTCCTGGGGTTACAGTACACTTTCCCAGGTCTGAGGGTGGGGTTAAGGAGTGTCAGAAAATGAATGAGTGGAGCCTGGCTTCTCTCGGTGTCTGCTGGAGTCCACCTCCCAGTGACTTTCCACCTCCGCCAAAGATGTTTGCACTTGCTTAGGACTGAAATGAAATGGTTCCTATGGCTGTAAAACACACTAGTCACCCTCCCGTGACTGAAGTAGCTGCATGCACAAGTCAGGCTTTTGTGTGTGTTTTCTTTTTCCTGCCTGCCTCCAAGTAATTTAAAAAAGGGAAATCTTTGGCTGAGAAAGTTTGGCTCAGCCTTGACCATCATTTGACCTTGAGGACAGCTGGGCCTTGCAGAAGCACAGCTGCTTGTTCCCTGCTCACCGCAGCTCCCTTTGGAGCTGTTCCACTAGTGGAACCAATGCCCTTCCAGAATGCCAAGGAGGCAGGCAAACCTCTGTCCCCCCTAATCCACCCCTCTGTGAGTACAGACAGAACTGCTGATGTGGAGAAAGGGGCCTTCTTTACTTTTAGGAAGAGGCATGGTTAGAGATACAGTGACTGAGAGTACGGTCAAGAGAAATAACAGCAGCCTCATTCTACACATGTTCTTGGAGACGTTTCCCTTTGAGTGATGAGTAGACTGAGGATGTGAACGTCAGCTCTCCAAAACCGAGCACAGTCTAGAGCAATTCCCAAGGCTCCAAGAAGTGACTGCAGACTGGGAGAAAGAGTCTTCTTCAAACTAAGGCCTTGATCCTCCTGGAAGGGGAAGAGCAGAGATGGAGACCTCAGAGGACAGTGCTCGGGGTTGAGTGTGCGTGAAACCAGAGTCTATGCCAGCTTCTGGGTGGGAAGCTGCCTGATGTCCACGGGAGACCCCGTCAAGCGTGCAAAGGGTGCTGGTGGTCTTAAAAAGAGCTTGTCTAGGCAGCTGTGTGCTGTTCTGCTTCCTGAATGAGGAGCAGGTGGAGGCCAGGGCAGTGCCCTGAAGGAAGGCAAGGGTTCTGCGCTTAGCACAAACTTACTCTCCCCCAGTTTTAAAAACATGTTTGTTCTTTTTCCCAAAGATTTAAGAACAGTTTCATAGACATGCGCACACGCACACATATGCACGCACACATTTGCCAAAGAAACAGCATGCAGTCTGCCTTCTTACCTTCATTTTCCATTGTTTCATTAAATATGAATGAGAATACCATTAGTATCTTGCCCTTGTAAATGATTATAAAAATGGATAATATAATTCAATTACTGCAGTCTCATTTTAATCCTGACTTTATTGATTATAAGAATCTGTAGTGGATTAAAATATTTCTCCTTCTCCAATTATATATACAATATAAGTATGAAATATATATGTATGTATATATACACATATTTTTATGTATATATACATGTACAGTAAAATTTAAAAACATTTAGTTGTAATTAAAAACTAGGTGAACCCTTTTTGTTCTGACCAGGAGGATTTCCTTTACCTCACTGGTCATTTGAGTGATCTACAATGCAAATAATACTGACACAAGAATGGAAACATTTATGCTTCTTTTAAAAATGTTTGTCCATCTGTTGAGTTATGTGAAGCCATGTGCAGCTTCACACAGCCTGAGGAGCTATTTCCCAAACCTGGTGGCTGGAACCACCAGTGTTGACATATTCAATTCTTGAGCAGATCTGTGGTTTCCAAAGGTTTTCTTTGGTGGGAGACTGGCTGATTGCGTTAGTTTTTCAGTTTATCACACTGTGATTTTTGGCTTATATGTAGAAAGAGTTCTGAAGAGTTGAGTTTCATTTTCAGATGGCATGATCCCTTTTCCCAGCAACAGGTGTACATGAGCAAGGTAGTAGAGTTGCTATCTATTCTATATTAGATGAAACATTTGAATGACATTCATCTTGAATTGGTTCTTATTACACATATAAATAATGCTTATTTCTAAGTACACACATTTC